GTAAGGGCCACCACAACGCAAGAGCCCCAGATGCCCAGCGGAAAATTTCTTCCAGAGGGCCTAACAGGGTGAGGCCCCCTGGGCTCCCGGCCCAAGGACTTGGGGCCTTGGAGGGGATGCTCGAGGGACAGGCCGAGGGCAGTGGATTGCAGGCATCTGGGAGGGGCAAACAGGGCGGGTGGGGGAGAGGAAAGTGGGGAGTGGGCATGAGAAGAGGGAGCTAAGATCCCCTGCCCCCCAGAGGGGTTCACATTCCTCTCGGAGACCCCAAAGTAAGCCTCCGTGCCACGTTTTCTAATCAACCCCCCTGATTACCTCCAGCCCCGGCGGGGCTGCTGTCCCGGCCTCTCTCAGCCTCTCTCTGTTTTCCCGCAGCAACTACACAGCCTTGTTGGGAGTGTGGATCTACGGCTTCTTCGTGGTGATGCTACTCGTCCTGGATCTTTTGTATTACTCGGCAATGAACTACGACATTTGCAAGGTTTACCTGGCACGGTGGGGCATCCATGGACGCTGGATGAAACAGGACCCCAGGCGGTGGGGGAACCCTGCCCGGGCACCCCGGCCAGGGCAGCCGGCCCTGCAGTCCCAGGCCCCCCCGGGTCCCCTGCCTCAAGCCCCCCAGGCCGTCCACACGCTGCAGAGAGACAGCCACAGCCCACCACTGATGAGCTTCCAGGGTTCGTCTGCCTGGTGAGTGGCTGCGATCTCTTGTCTTTGACGAGCTTGGAAAATACCAGGTCGTTATTGCTGCTGTGTTTGGCTTGTCAATTACTGGATGATTTGCTTATCTTATTTGCCAAGAAAGATGTGAAGTGGCCCGTGGTAACAACGCGTGCCTGGACAGAAAAGTCAAAATGAAAGGTTGAAACAGAGCTTAGAAACAAAGCTTGCAAGTTTATTTTGCTTAGATTCTGGTGTGAGAGCTGTTGCCACTGAGCATGAAGTGGAGTTGTGAGTTTCCTAGCTGGCAAGGCAAAAAGGGAAATTGGATGGCTTCCCAAGTTTTCACAGTCTGGTCAAAGGAAGCAAGTCGATCTGTCAGGGGCTGAGGGAGAAGCTTTTTTTGGCATGAAATTTGAAAATAAGCATATTTATTACTGGACTCCATCGTGCATATATGTTGAGTCACAGAAAGGCATCTGAGGGCGATGCAGGCAGCCTGCCCATCGATGGCTCAGGGGAAGGGAAGGAAGCCAGCCAGGGAGGTGGGATCCCAGCTGGCCTTATAGGGTGGCTACCCCAGCAGAGCCCGGTTATCCTGCCCCAGGGGCGAGCTCATGATTTCCTGGAAATGGACAGACTGCCACTCTCATGTCTATCCATCTCCAGTCTGGTGGGAGGCAGAGAATCACCTAACCTGGGGGTCCCTGGGCGGTGCAGAGCTGGAGGGAGAGAGGAGGGGTCTGTGCATTTTGGAGCAGGAGCCCACTGTGTGGCTGGCCAGCACCAAGAACAGGCATCAGCCCCTGGCAGGAGCCAGGCTGAGTGCAGATGCTCAAGTCCAGGGCTCAGCTGCTCTGCAGGGGCTGAGCTGCAGCCATGGGCACACAGGGCACGGGGCACATCATCCCAGGACATCACAATACTGAGCCCAGACTGCAAGATCCAGGTACAAAAACCTACAACACAGTGATCCCTGACAAGCCATGAGTTTTGCAGGCAGCCCAACCCAGGTTCAAGTCCCAGCGCTGCCAGTTACCAGCTCTGTAACTTCAGGCAAGCTCCTTCACCCTCTTAACCTTCCAATCCTTGTGAAGCAGGGGAGAGTAAGAACGCACCCCCACCCCCACTCCCGCCACCCTGGGATTGTCTTGAGGATCAAACAAAATGCCTGGCACGTAGTAGGTGCTCAGTTAACCATTGCTCCTTCCTTGCAGGAGATGCAACCAAGCTAGTTCATGGTCGTTTAAGTAGCTAACAGATAGTGACCTTTTCAATAATGAAGGACTTAAATAATTAATAAGATACACTTAAATCAGCTTGTGCTTACTGATCTAATAATTGCCACAACTGTCATGCAGGAGGCAAAGACACAGCCTTGCTCAGCTCAGCTGGACAAATGTGGACTGAGCGGGTCCTCTGGGCGGGGCCCCTAGCCAGGCCCCCGTGGTGTGGAGGTGATGGAGAGGCTGCTCTTCACCTTGAGGAGGGGGGAGGGGACACACAAGCCCGCCCAAAGCTACAGACCGTGGAACAGCTGTTGGCTCTGCCCCAAAGGTGTGGTCTCCTGAAATGTGAGTCTCGCACAGCAGACACACCTGGGGTGCTTGTCAAAATAAATTCCTGGGTCTCAGCCAGAGCCTCCTAACCAGGAATCTCTGGGGGTGATGCTTGTAGGCACTACAGTTTGAGAACCACTGGAAAACTTCATTACCAGGAGCCAAGTGTTTTGAGAGCTGAGACTCTACCATGTAAACGAAGGTGCCCCCCAGCCCCTGCCACGTTCCTGACAAGACGGTGATGTGAGCCAGCCCTTAGGGGCTGTCGCCGTCCTGCCTGCAGAACCCGGCCGGGGTGGTTTGCTTGCACGGAAAGGGACCACGCTGGTCCATTTCTGAGTCGCTGCGTCTGGTCCTAACAGTTCTCAGTCTCCCTTGCTGTTAACCGTTGCCTGTCTCTGAGGTCTCCCCCTTTCCATACTGCACACATTGTGCACCTCCTGTGTACCAGGCCCTGTGCTGTGCGATCCAGATGGGGTTTAAGGACATCAGCTATGGAGGGGAAAGGGCATGCAAGCTCATTGGGATTGCACGTGAAGTCTGGGTTCATGGCATCTTCGTGAGAGGCTGGCTCCCAGCCCACGGGCTCTGCCCCCTGTACAGATGGACCTTTCATTTCCAAGCTCAGAGCCTCTTTGTGTCCTGGTTCTCATATAGGCAGACTCAGAACGGGGTTTCCATCACCATATGAGTCTCCGTACAGGAACAAGCATCAGGAACGTGCAAGGACGCGATGGGGGTTAGGGGATCCCCAGGTGCCGCCCAGCTCCCATCCTGCCCTCTACGCTCTGTGTGACCTTGGGCCGGGGACTTCCTGCTTGGGCTTCCTTTTACCAGCCGAAGGGAGAGGGGATGGACTTTGAGACAAGAGCAGACCTTCACCTCGCTGGGCCTCCTGGTGGGCGCCCATGGTTCCAGCAACATCTGCTGAGCACTTGCTGTGTTCCGGGCCCTGCTGGCACACTTTCATTCTCACGATGACCCTGGGGGGCTAAGTGCTGGAAGCACAGAGAAGCTTTCTGGAGGAGCCCAGCCAGTAGGGTCAGTACGTGATGGGGGTGGAGGGGGCTGAACAGCTGGCTCCAGCTCCTGCCCCACTGCCCCTTGCTTCCGGCTCCCCGCCCTCTGTGGCGGCAGGAATCCCTCCCCTTCCCGAATGTGTACCCGTCTTCCCTGATATTGTTTGGTTTGGCTGAAGTTTCCCAAGCAGCCACTACCCCACCCTGGCTCTGTGCTGGGTGCTGGGGACACAGAAGCAAGCGGTGCAAGCCAAGACATGGCTAACCGTCACAGGATGATGGGTTACAGCCCGGGGGGGGGGCGCAGGCGGGATGAGGGGCACAGCCAGGCCGTGGGCCCCAGCAGTCTGAGGTTAAACAAGCCTTGCCTTGTGGACAGGAGCGGAGGTGGGGCTTCTCAGGCAGGTGGTGGTCTGAGACCAGGTGCGGTGGTGGGTGTGGTCATGCGTGATGTCAAGCTGGGGGTGGGGGGAGGGTGGAGAGTCGGAACAGGATGGTTGTAATCAGTGTTTCTCCCGGAACAAGAGCTATAGCGTCTGCGCTGCTTTACTGCCAATTGTCACCTGGATCTTACCCCCGGGTCTCTCTCTCTCCCTCTCTCTCTCTCTCTCTCTCT